CATTATATAAAAAGACAACAAATACTTTAAGTCTGAATAACTTGCTTAAAATATATCGATCAATATTTTTATGCTATATAGTGATTAAATATAATGGAAATTAGAGGAAGATTGAAGAAGAGGTACCCCAATGACATTCGGCCTAAGTTAGGGTTAGGTTAGGTCTATTTAGGATTAGGATTAAAGTATAATTTGGGCTAATTTGGTTAGTGCTAGTAAACAAATATCATCATGTAGATTACTGGGATACCTGTTCTTCAAGTGTCCTGAAATTAGAATGCAAATCCAGAAATTATTCTGTAAGTTCTTATCATTATGCATTTAATTATTTTAACTTTATGGAACTTATTTTCTAATAATGCTATCAATATAAGAACTATTAAAAAAACTTATTAAATATATAAAACATATAAATTTCACTTGATGGTACTCATATGTGAAATAATCCCACAAAAGATAATAAAAGTGAGCTGTCCTACCAAATAGTAACCCTTATTTTGCATTGCATACTTCTAAAAATCAACTTTGGCCTGTATTATCCTGAAAATAGTAATCCATCATTTGCACTGTATATACTTAAAATTTGGCTTTTGCATAAATCTGAATTATTCAGGATAAATTAACATAACCTAACCTGATTACCTCTAACTTTTTTTAAAATATTATAGAGTTTGTTGACCAAATTCGCATTTACTAGTCAATTACCTGTTTAAAACTAGTAATTGACTAGTAAATGCGAATTTGGTTGACCAAACCCATAAATTAATTTATTGTAAACCCAGTCATAGCCAGATTATGCCAAGATTAATAATATTGGTAAATTAATAATGAGATCAGTGTGAGAAATATTGATAGAGATTCTTGCAAAATATATTCATAAAATACGATAGCTTCATGATCTGATTACCTCATTAACTTTTCTTAAATATTATGCGTTTGGTTGACCAAATTCACATTTACTAGTCAATTATCAATTTTCAAACTAACAATTGACTAGTAAATGAGAATTTTGTTGACCAAACCCATAACTTCAATTCATTGTAGAATTTTTTAAATTAATGATTATACTTAATTGAGATCAGGATAAGAAATATTGATATAGAGATTCATGCAAAATGATTTTGTGAAATATGAGAACTCAATGACCATTTACCTTATTAACTTTTTTTAAATATTATTGCTTAGCAAAATTCTTATTTATTAGTCAATTACTAGTTTTAAAACTAGTAATTGACTAATAAATGCAAATTTGGTCAACCAACCTATAACTTTAATTTATTGCAGAACCAGTCATAACTAGATTATGCCAAGATTAATAAGATTGGTAAAATTTTTTAAATTAATAATTATACCTAATTGAAAGGTTGTCTAAAGCCTGGTACCTTACAAAACTATCCGATATATGTCCCACATTATTCCGAACAACCCAATAAAGCCAAAAACACAAAAATATAAAAAATGACTATCTAAACTGGTCTTTATGCACTAAATAAAAGTGTCAGAAATGCAATTTTACTATATATCTATTAACCTTATAGCCCATATATAACATTAACCCTAATATTAATTAAAAATCGGAAAACCAGACAGTGTCAGACTTTAGATGTTCCCCTAATTAAGATCAACTTGAGAAATATTGATATAGAGATTATGCAAAATTCATTTGTAAATATAAGAGCTTCGTGTTATCTGTTGCAAAAGTTATTAATAAGGAAACGAAGTAAACCTATAATCAAATAGCTATTCATCTAATTAGAATTCATACGTAGTTGCAATAAATCCTCACCCATATTCTAATCAAGCTATTTCCTTCATGCAAGATAACAAAGTAAATGCTTTTCACTTATCACACTAACAGGTTAATTACAAGGATTTGAATAGCATTACCAAATAAATATAAGTGTTTTATGAACTTTTCATATAGAATAGGTCTATATAAAATAATAATAATAACGATAGTGTTAAATTTTAATTTTATTGACAAACAAAAATCAAAAAGAATGTCTTCACCTTCTTTTTCAGACAATGAAGAGTCTAATGTCACGCCATCAATGGCATCAACATCATCAACTACAAGTCACAAGAAGAGAAAAGCTAATGCTAAAGTTGTACGTAGTAATAAAAGCTATACCAGTTTTTTTTTTAGTATAGATAAAAACAATGCTAAACTTGCACACTGTAAAATATGTGTGTGTAACTTTGCTGGCTCTCAGCAAACTCCCTATCCATATACTCGTAAAGGTGATAACACATCAAATATGATTGCCCATTTACTTGACAAGCACAATATAACCAAAGATAACTATACTGATCACTTGGATGAATACAATGAAGTATATACAATATTTTGAAATTTTGTTATGTTGAATGGCATAATTTGGATGCTACTCAAATTGTCATTCAAACTGCTGTTCAACATTATTACAGTATTACATAATTTCGCAGATATACATATCGTAAAATCATGTGATAGTATTGAATGGTAGTTTGAATAGCAGTTTGAGTAGCATTCAATTATGCCATTCAACATGGTAAAATTTTTAAGTTTATTAGTAATGTATTAAAAACAATTAAGATAATTAACTTTAGATTATTTTTAGCCAAAATGTGATCAATTCAAAGTTACTGACTATTACAATAACACAGCATCATCATGTCTACTGCAAAGGCAACAACTAATCGTAAGGAAATTAATCCAATTTATTATTCAGTTCATTTAACCTCTTTATATCTTGCAAGATCAATCTTTTCACGAATTTGTTTATGTCTGTGAACCTGGATTCCGAGTGCCATGTGATAAAACAGCTAAAGGATTGATTCATGAAGCATATAATTGGAGTAATGATCAACTAAAGTCTCTAATTAGTAGTAATGCAACAGCCATTCATTTGTCTACTGATCTGTAAACAGCAAAATTTCGCCATGGCTATTTAGACATTACTGCAACTTGGTTATCTTCTGAGTTTAAGTTCAGAGAGGCCCTAATTTCTTGTGACCACCTTGAATATCCACATTCTGAAGATGTAATTTGTGAGGAATTAATTCGATTAATTCATGAATGGCATCTTGATTCGATGGTCTTTACTGTAGCTACGGATAACAGGCCTAATATGGTTAAAGGGATAAAGTTATTGCATAAAATTATTAATAATGTGGAGCATCAGTCTTGTGCTGCACATACATTGCAGTTATCAGTAAAACAAGAACTAAAACAGTGTAAAGCTATTCATCATCGTATTAAAAGTTTACAGACTTTTTTTCGACTTCCTAAACAGGCACAATGTTTACGTGAAGCACAATATGAATTTAGTGTATACGATAAGGATCAAAATATTATTGAAAGTCCACTTGATATTATAACTGATATAAAAACGAGGTGGAATTCTATTATTTGGCTTGGAAAGTGTCTTGGAGTTGCATAATGCGATGTGATTTGTTTCAACTTTGTTACTTTCTAAATCAGATCGTGCTTTGCAAAAAGAAGGTAAAAAACTAGAAAAATTGTGCTTATCAGTTAGTGAAAAAAAGTAATTATAAATTTATTTAGTTTTGTAATATTTATTATAAATATTGCTCTTTAAAATTCGAATTATTTTTTCTTATTTTGTCTAAGCTTTTGAAACTTCCAAATTTTAAATTTTTTATTTATGTTAACTTGCTTTTTTTATCTATAGAGTATGGGCTTATTTGTTTCTGTAAAATTTATTTATAACAATAATAAATCTTATCTATAATAACAATATAACATAATCAGGATTCTGCAAGTGCCAGGCATGTACTATTAAAAACGATGCCTGTGCCTATACCTGGCACTATGTTTTAATAGTGCCCGTACCTGGCACCTGCAGAACCCTAAACATAACTACAATATTTAGAGTCAAATAAGCCCCATACTCTGAAGTAAAATATTTAAGATAGAGACTTTTAATTTTATTTTTTTTTTAATAAAAGGTTAAAAAAATTTTTTTTTTTTATATAGATTTTTAAAGGATGTGATGAATTTACTAGAATCGATTGAAAGAGTAACCCGACACTTATGTGGTGCTAAATATCCAACTATTAATCTTGTTTATCTGTATATGGAATTACTCAAAAAAACGTTTGCTCCAAAGACAGATGAAACGGTTGATACCTATTTGAATTTGATTTATGAAGAAGTTGAAAGTGAAGAGAATGAAAGTGATGAATCTGATAATGATATTTCTACTGCTGGCACTAGTAAACAATGGCAATATGCATACAAGCAGTTTAGCCAAAGGATGGCCTCTCGTGTTCAAAGTTGAAGTCAAAATATAAGAACACAAAGACATTCCACTAATGCTGAGTTAGAAGATACTGATTAGGTAGAATATTTGCCTTCTGTTGCTACTGATGGTTTACTTTGTAAAGTTCAAGCTGCTATTTATCTTTCATTAGATGAATTATGGGCAGTTCCAATGAATATTGCTTTAGTTGCTATGTTTCTTGATTCAAGGTTCAAACATTTCAATTGGGCAACAAGTGTTGAGCAAAATAGAGCACAGGATTTGGTAAAGACCCTATATAATGAATTAAAAATAAACCTTACTATTTCAGATGACAATGAAGAAAATTTGGTAGACAGTAATTATAATGATGACAATGCTGATTTTTTTTATGAATTAGAATCAAATTCTATACAAGTTGATGTAGAAGATGATGATGAAGTAACGTGCTATATAAAGTTAAAAGAAATCAAACTTATTGATGATCCCCTAGAATGGTGATTAAAAAATAGAAGTAGCTTGCCTGTTTTAGCCCAATTGGCTCGCAAATATCTTTCTATTCTGGCAACTTCCGTGCCGAGCGAAAGATTGTTTTCTGATGCTGGCAACCATATCTCAGCAAAACGAACTTGTTTGTCACCAGATTTAGTGAATAAGGTTTTGTTTTTGAAATGCAATAGAGTTCATTTTGAAATATTTCCACCACAAGAATAACAGTTTTTTAATAGCTGTTAGCTTATTTATTCAATCTGAAGGTTCAATTTTTCTTTTAATTTTTCAATTGTTTATTTTTTTTTTTTATTTTTAAATTTTTAAATTTTTTTTTCACTTTAAATTTTCAATTTTAAATTCTCTGAAATTAACTTTTTTTGATTTTAAATTTTAAAATTTTAAATAAATTGATCATTAAGGACATTGATAAATTTCTTGGTGAATATCAGGCCTACCAAATAATTAATTGGGAAGGCAATTAATTGCAATTATTTAGAACCCAATTAATTGATTGGTGGTGCAGCCACAATTAGTTAATTAATTGCAGTTTAATTATTTTTCGTATAACAATTATGTAATTGTAATAAGATAATTGTAATAAAATTTAATTTTTTGGTACCCTTAGTGATTATAATTCGCTTTTCTAATAATAAACATTGATACTAGTTTTCTTACCTTAAACAGGAAGACTGCTCAAAATTGATTGTATATTATGATTATTTTAAATTTATATAAATCAAATCTCAAGATGTTTCTTGACATATAATCGTTTAACCTCATAACTAGTTTCTACTTTAAACTTATCAGGCACATTACTATTAATTATACTTGCCTAATTTAAACCTCGTTATTAGAATATATATATATATTCATATTTTTGTATATAGTTGCATAATATATACTGTAAACTCGGAAAATAAGCACTATTTTTTTAATTAATGAAGGTGCTTATTCATTAGTTATTTGAAAATTGTTAACATGTTCCACGATTGCAATCATAGAAAACATAATTAATTTAAAGTTTATTTGACTGTGCTTATTGTTGCGAAGTAGAGTAATAGCAGGTTGTTACTACAAGTATAACTCAATAAAACACCTTCGCCATAGTAGAATATACCCCAAGACTTGTGCTTTCGTTAGATGTGTAAGTATTTTATTTTTTACGATTTTCTCTATGAGCGAAAGACTAATTTTCTTTATTTACTTTCTTTGACCCTACCCTTTATATTACATTCAATTAATTCAATTACATCATTTACGGTATTCATTTATTAAACTTTCTTATACTATATTTGACTTTGTCATTAATATTATTAATAATCAATTTTGCATTAACTATCTCATTATTACATACCAATACAATCACGCCAACTTGATGCAATTGATCTCTCCGATGATACCACATGCTTCACGTAAGATGTTCATTTCACATTTATGTACCTTACCATTACCTTTTACTCTATCAATCTGTTTCTTTATTTCTTCTCGTTTATATAAGATACCATCCTCACACAACATTCCCCGTACCGGGTATAGGGGCATTTCTGCAACTATGTGACACTTATGTATAGAACATTATTGTAGGGGTGCTTATTTACCACCATAAGTAGATGGGTGATCTGCGTAATTTTTTTATATATAAAAATCAGTTTTTTTATATAAAAAAAATATGCAAGTCATCTATCTAACTGTAAGTGCTTATTCAGAATTTTATGATATATGTTTATTATATATCTTAATATTTACATGTTCTATTTATAGTATTGTATTTTTTTACTATCGTTAGTTATCACAATTATTCATATATGCAAAATAACTAAAATTTGATGAATAAATCACGCGAACTAATCAAACTTAAGATTTTGCAGACAGATCCTATTAAAACACCATATAAGCCATACACTTTGTGATTTAATCACTTCGTTCCTGGTAATGCTTTTAATAAAACTTAAATATAATTGAATCAGATTTGTCTGATATCAAATAAAGGCTTAAGCTT